ATAACGATTCCCTTTTTAATGCAATTGTGGGTGATGGGTGCTACGATAGCACGGGACACGCTTACCCTTTTGGCGGACACCAGGTGTCACTGATTTTTAGTGATCCATTGGTGTAATTGCCACGTCTGTTTTGCCTTTTACTGACTGACTGACTGAGTTTGGTTTTACGCCGCTTTTAGCAATATTCCAGCAACATCACGGCGGGGGACACCAGAAATGGGCTTCACACATTGTACCCATGTGGGGATTCGAACCCGGGTCTTCGGCGTGACGAGCCAACGCTTTAACCACTAGGCTACCCCACCGCCCCTGTTGCCTTTTAATAACGTCCAATGAAACATGTTTTGTCTCACAATGCAGACTAAGATGATGACGATGATGGGTGAGTGAGTGAGAGAGTGCGTTGGGATTTGCGCTGCTTTCACGAAGGGGGACACCAGAAATTGACTTCAGACCATGTGCGGAATGCCTTGTGGCTAAATCACGCGGAAAACCAAACTGACTCATTCGTATTGCCTTGGGCTAATGAAGTCAAAGTAACATTCTCCATTTCACTTGAAGTTTCTAAAATATACAAGTTAAACTAATAAAAAAGAAACACATGCGCAGTGGTCTGCAATCACAGAGCAACACAACCCCCGAGCACGTCAAACGTAGGCTACCTTGCACTCAGTCAATACGAATGTATCACCGCAGCCAATAGTGTTTCAACCAAACCTCTCTATGAAGTTTCACCTGTTGTAGAGAACTGTTTGACTTCGTCATTTACAAAGCATGCATTAAGTGTAAATTACGGAGTATGACGGGCGTGTCGATTGTTGCTCAGAGTGAGTGAGTGAGTTTGGTTTTACGCCGCTTTTAGCAATATTCCAGCAACATCACGGCGGGGGACACCAGAAATGGGCTTCGCACATTGTACCCATGTGGGGAATCGAACCCGGGTCTTCGGCGTGTCGAGCGAACACTTGAACCTCCAGGCTACCCCACCGCCCCTGTTGCTCAGAAGACAAGGCAATGCCTTGACACGCTGGTCGTGATGTTAAGGCTATTTCATAATACTAAATGCGAGGTAAAACAATACTGTCAGTCACTATTCAGAATGGAAAGTATATAACAGTATGTAATATTGGACTACGGTCAAATGTACAGAATACATTCTGTATCGTCCCTGTTTCAGGACATGCAAGTTCTCTTCACTGAAACGAGTAAAAAAATGTCCACTGTGACCACTTTTAAACAATACTATTATGTTGTTTTTCCAACCAGCCCCCAACGCTGTCAGTTGTAACGCAAAAGACTAGCATCAAGATATGTGCCGTCCTTACCTGAGTCATATCACTATATAAAAGGATATATACAACAAAATGAAAAACAACAGTTTTTCAGTCACCCATTTATATATTTTTCATTTTCATCTAGTTGGTTATTGCCTGCGTTGACGCTGCATATTTAAACAGTAAGCGGCAACTAGATCGGCTGGTCAGGCTCGCTGACTTGGTTGACACATGTCATCGTATCCCAGTTGCGTAGATTGGTGCTCGTGCTGTTGATCACTGGATTGTCTGGACCAGACTCGAGTATTTACAGACCGCTTCATATTTTAACGAAACACCCACTCAGAGAGTACGTTACCTTGTCTGACACCACGGCCACATACACCCACTCAGAGAGTACGTTACCTTGTCCGACACCACGGCCACAAACACCCACTCAGAGAGTACGTTACCTTGTCTGACACCACGGCCACAAACACCCACTCAGAGAGTACGTTACCTTGTCTGACACCACGGCCACATACACCCACCCAGAGAGTACGTTACCTTGTCTGACACCACGGCCACAAACACCCACTCAGAGAGTACGTTACCTTGTCTGACACCACGGCCACATACACCCACTCAGAGAGTACGTTACCTTGTCTGACACCACGGCCACATACACCCACTCAGAGAGTACGTTACCTTGTCTGACACCACGGCCACAAACACCCACTCAGAGAGTACGTTACCTTGTCTGACACCTCGGCCACATACACCTTACAACCTTATCATTAAAAAAGGACGAAAATTCACTAAAAGTGTTTAAAACGACAATCGGCAGCCGCTTCGGAAATTCCATGGATGCTTGAACTGTTAACGCTAATGACGTCATCAGCGACATTGACCTTACCACGGGAGCAAGATGATCAGTAGAAAAAGGACTGTTTGTACCCTGTCACTGTGATGGCGCGACATCTCTCATTGGAGCGCGGATTCGGTCTGTGGTATGATGTATATATATATATATATGTGTGTGTGCAGGTATTACCACCACACTCAAGGTAACAAGGATGAGGAAATGAATATTTCACATTTTTCATTATCGAAATACCGAGAACAGATTATCTATGAAACTATGCAGGTTAACGTCATCCGTTAAGCAATTATCATAAAGAGAAACGTAATATTAAAATTTAAAATTAAATTATTAAAAATAAAATACTAAAAAGGTATTTAAGAAATGAAGTTTGCTCTACCTCATGTGTTGTGTCACACTTGCTTGTTGTTGAACTCTGTACTCAATATTGCTGCTATTATGACGTCCGTCAATAAATAATCAAGTCTGGACCAGACAATCCAAAGATTCACATTATGAGCATCGATCTACACAATTGGGATACGATGACATGTGTCAACCAAGTCAGCGAGCCTGACCACCCGATCCCGTTAGTCGCCTCTTACATCAAGCATAGGTTACTGAAGATGAATTCTAACCCGGATCTTCACGTGAACGAAAGCCCAGAGTTGCCTTGCACTGTTACAGTGAAATCACGAGCAATTTCTGTCTAAAATCCTACATTGACGTTTGTGAACCGGATGAAATTTACAGTGTGATTCGATTACTTCAACTTAATAATCGAAATTCAATTTATATTGCACCAGGTTCCATTCACATGGATATCATTAGAACCATTCCATAGTTCAGTGTGCACTCAGATGTCATTCTCAGCTCCCTGGGGTCCTTACTAAACTAATCTTTCTAAATATATATTTAATTATGTAATTAACTATGATTAAAGCACGCAAATAAATTCTTTCAAGGGAGTTTTCTTGATCACATGACCCACGTTACAATGAAGAACTGAGAAATGAACGAGTGGACGAGTGCATAAGAAAAACAAAAAGAAAATAGAGCAAGAAAAAGAAGAAAAAACAATAGTGCATGAGTGCATCTTACAACATGTTCTGAAGTCTTCAGACACACATATATAATTTTCAAACGGCAACAGTGTAGAAAGAAAGAGAAACGCTTAGCTTACTGTACAAGAAAAATGTTGAAATCCTATAACACCGGGTGTTTTTTGCCCTCGTCCACAGTCGGGATATGTCACAAATGCCAAGGGGATGTGTGCAGTCGGTTTGTGCGTTCACGGGCATTGAGCTAAGCGAACTCGCAAACCTCCAGACAAATCGGATATAAAACAGTAAGAAACGTCAAAAAGGTCGTCAAATAGAAAATGGCTTGGGACATTCTTCAGCGAATCGCCACGGTTTGTTTTAGAGAGGGGAAACACCGAAACTACCGCCAGAGTACCCTTCCGTGTGAGTTGCTGTAATCCACATGTGTTTTGATCGGGCGAGGTACAAATACTGTTAATCTTATCGCCTTCCACTTGCAAGAAAACTTATTTGTCCATTACACTGTGGTACCCCGTTAATCCCGACGCTACCATTCCTGTTGAGATTGTACGCATTAACAAATTTCCGGGTGTTAGTTCTCCCTTCTTAACCAACGAAAACTTTACAGTGTTACAGAGCAATTCAATATAAAACTACTAGCATTGTCCTTACTTTGTCTGGCATACGGTGTCGAGTCAGCGACGAGCGAATACTTGAAAAGCTGTGTTACCTACCTGCCCCATGTTCAAATATATATTACCGACTGGTAAAAAAAAAGAGAAGTAGTTAGTTGTATTTTTTAAATTAAAACCCTTCAGAAAAATAATGACCTGTCTTGAAGAAGTACTGGGCCAGGTTGTTCAAAACGCTGTTATTTTAACGTACCTTTAATCACAAACGACCCGTTAGCTAACGAAAAGTTAGTTAACGGTACATTAAAATTTAACGGGCTTTTGAGTAACCGGGCCCTGATGAAACCATAGGGGCTTGCAACTCAAATGACTGGCATCAAGGTATATATTGTAACTGAGCGGGTCTTAGCTCGATATAAAGGTGTTAAGACCCCTTCGGTATCTGTAAATACCTTGATGCCAGTCTTTTGCGTTACAAGAGCCTGTGGCTGAAACGACAGACACGAGTGAGTGAGATTAGTTTTATGCCGCTTTTAGCAATATTCCAGCAATATCACGACGGGGGACACCAGAAATGGGCTTCACTCATTGTACCCATGTAGGGAATCGAACCCGGTTTGCGGCGTGACGAGCGAACGTTTTAACCACTAGGGTATCCCACCGCCCCGAGTGAGTGAGTGTATTGGGTTTAACGGTGTTGTGGTTGTATAAGAGGGTGTCAGTATAAAATGAGAGGAAAGCCCGAAATGATGCAGGCTTTCACGTGCAAATAACTGTATCGTACAAAATGCGCACAGAATATTGAGGATCTTCACAGTAACCCCGCCCGTGTGTAATATGTTGTTATCACACAGTCTGCTGCAATCTGAACCTTTACACCGTGCCCTATGATTTGGGTGTTGACTGTATACACATTTCGGGGAACACACTGACAAGTGACTAGAATAGAATTTTATCTCATGTTTTCCTGGCAGGTCTCTTCTTATAGACCCTTCAAGCGATATCAGTTGTACCTCTCACACACTCGCCATCTACTTAAAATACCTGCACTATTTAGTCACTTATCGTTGTTGTTGTTGTCGTGAAAAGTAGACCACGATTAATTGGTTATGTGGTTCGATAAAAACTACTCTTGTCTTTTATCTCTTGCAATGTTCGTGATCCACTCGTGTTTTTCCGGCTTGCAGGTAGCGGAAAGGGGCGAGTGATCAGTGAGTGAGTGAGTGAGAGTGTTGAGTTTTACGCCGCACTCAGCAATATTCCAGCTATGTGGTGGAGGTCTGTAAATAATTGAGTCTGGACCAGACAATCCAGTGATCCCCAGCATGACCATCGATCTGCGCAATTGGGAACCGATGACATGTGTCAACCAAGTCAGCGAGCCTGACCACCCGATCCCGTTAGTCGCCTCTTACGACAAGCATAGTCGCCTTTTGTGGCAAGCACGGGTTGCTGAAGACCTATTCTACCCCGGATCTTCACGGGTCGCGAGTGATCAGTAATGGAATTGGCACATATCATGCCTGCTCGGCAATCCAACGCCAGATCATCGCATACAGTCCCCTCATGGGACGGTCAGTTATGGGGTATTTTGTGTGACAGAAATTTGTTAAAACTATAAACGCAAACCGGAAGTATATAAACTCTCCTATTAGGTTCGTGTCTCCAGCTATGTTTGTGTGCAGCATGATAATAAAGTGGACGAAATGAGAAGAGCCAGGTTGAATCATGTCTGTTCTGAACAGTTTGGCTGCCCTGTGATCAGTTCGTAGCCTGGGCATAATTGTCACATCTGCACCTCTGGGGCAATAACACAAAGTAAAGTTAACCCAGTGAAGAAACTTCCCCAGTCAACAAAAACCGTTAGTCTGGCCTGAGAATACCCCCGCTCCCTGAGGGCTGCAACATATAGAAAACGCCATACTAGTGCATTTGGACCCCATGCACTGAACGAAAAGGGTAAGTGAGTGACTATGGCCGTTTATGGCAATACTCCAACAATATCAAGGCGGGTGACACCACAAATGACCTTCACACATTGTATCCATGTGGGGAATCGAACCCGGGCCTTCGACTTTAACCACTAGGCTACCCCACCGTTTCCTGAACGAGATGCCATGGTAGGGGAGAAACGAGCTCGAAGAACTACTTCTTTCTCTCCTACCATGGCGTCTTCTCCTCCAAATATATGACCTGATATGCACTACTGTAATACTTATCAGATACCCTTTTCACGACACAGACTGTTTTAAACTAACTCTAAACATCACTATTGAATTTCCGCATTGAGGTTACCGTGACCTCAGGGTCACTCCGCGCAAGGGACGTATCACCTATGTGTACGTAAGATCGCATTCCTCCGCCTGACGTCATTAACTAAGTGCTAGCTATAGGCTCTGATCACAAAAGAAACAAAACAGAATATTTGCAAGAAAACAACTTTCAATTAATAATTATCTTTCAAATTTTCATTTGAAATCTCTTTAGAGATCACACCGTCTTTCAAGTCCGGCAGCCGTGCAATACCGAAATCAGCCTGGTTCCCTGAGTCTGTTGCGCCTGCGCTAACGCTCAGGCTGTACCGAAATCGGCTTAAAAAACGGGTTTCGCCTCAGCCCGACGTATTCCACGAGTATACCGATATTGAAAGGACATGTAATAACCAATGACCACAGCATGACCAACGTCTGACGCCATCGAAACATGACGTACCATCGTCCAAGTCACACAACTTGACAACCTGACACACGAGTGAGTGAGTGAGTTTAGTTTTACGCCGCATTCAGCAATATTCCAGCAATATCACGGCGGTCTGTAAATAATCGAGTCTGGACCAGACAATCCAGTGATCAACAACATGAACATCGATCTACGCAACTGGGATACGATGACATGTGTCAACCAGGTCAGCGAGCCTGACCGTCCGATCCCGTTAGTTGCCTCTTACGACAAGCATGGGTTACTGAAGACCAATTCTAACCCGTATCTTTACGGGTCCCTGACATACGAAGTACCACAGACCTATCTACTGGAATTAGGAACGCGGGCCAAAACCGACAATGTTTACCTGGACACATCTCAAGAAGGAATGTTTTATCTCCATAAAATGATAAAATGTGCTTCTGATTTTGGAACGAAAAATATAAATAAGGACATATGGTCAATTTTCAGTGATCGCCTTCCTCCGATACGATATATATTTTTTTTTTTCAAGGTCATGCTTTCAAAGAGCTTTCTTTCCGAGGATTTACATTTCCCATAACCGCAGTGTTATACGATACTTAGACACCGACAAATTACGGGCATATATGTGAAACTAAATTGAGAACATATGACAAATATCGCAGAAAAACAAATATTTGCGAACTCGCCCCCCTCCCATTAAGTGCGACTCAGACGGAACCTAGTCAATATCGCACATGAAACACGTTTCTCAAGACCACGACCGCGCAGCTTTATCTTCCTTCCATCAATATATACTCCTCACAAAAAATTAAGCAACAAGTGTATTTTTGGTCAGTACATATGCCTTTACTCATGATCATTACAACTGAATCAAACATAACAAAGATAAAGCATATCCACACACTTTTCCAACAAAGAAATCAAAATTCATTGAACAATAACTGACTTGCAAATCATCAAAAACAGTGTCAATGAAAAAGCCGTGCAAAATGTGTTGCATCAGGGTATGAAAATGTCTGAAAACACTTTTACTGTCAGTTTTGAGCACTGATCCAAAGTTTAATAACGTGTATGGCCACCATTGACCTGAATACACGCTTCAAGACGTCTAGGCATTGACCAGATGAGTCTGTCTAGAGTCTGTTGTGGAATGTTCTGCCATTCTCTCCGCAATGCCTGTTCAAGCTGATCCAGAGTCTGAGGACGAACGTGGAGGCCGTACACACGCCTTCCGAGGATGTCCCAAGCATGTTCAATAGGATTCAGGTCAGGAGACCTTGCAGGCCAGTCCATATGGGTGATGTTGTTGGTCTGAAGAACATCAGTGACAACTCTTGCTCGATGTGGACGGGCATTGTCATCCATGAAGATGAAGTTAGGACCTGCTTGCTGAGCCCACGGAATGATCACAGGTGTGACAATTTCGTCTCGGTACCTCACACCTGTCATGGTACCTCGTCTGATGACCACAAGATCAGTTCGTCGTCCAACTTGGATTCCTGCCCAGATCATCAAACTCCCACCTCCATACTGATCATGTTCAGCAATCGTACAGTTGGCGTATCGTTCGTTACGGTTTCTCCACACACGAGCCCTACCATCATTGAAATCCAGACAGAATCTTGACTCATCTGTGAAGAGAACATTACGCCAGCGATTGACTCTCCAGTTACGTCGTTGGTTAGCCCAATTCAGTCTCTGTTGACGATGGTGTGCAGGCAGTGGGATACGTTGCACTGGTCTTCGGGACCTGAGACCTTCAGCATGGAGTCTGTTCCTCACTGTCTGTGTGGAGATTCTGTTCCCAGCAACTCTCTGGAGGTCATTCTGGAGAGATCTGGCTGTGGTGAACCTGTTCCGCCGGGCTAGGGTGGCCAAGTATCGGTCCTCTCTGGGAGTTGTCACCCTTGGACGACCTGAGCGTGGTCTCTCAGTCATCAATCCGGTCTGTTGGTGACGAGTGATCGCTCTGGAGATGACGCTTCGATGAACATTGAAATGGTTGGCAACAGCACTCTGGGTCTGACCCCTGCACCATTCCAACAATTTGAGCAACTTCAATTGGTGTCAAGTGACGCCTAGCCATTTCTCAAATGTTACTGTCAACAATTTGTCGTTGCTGGCAGTTTTAACGCAATCAGAACGCATGTGCGACGTGTATAGCACATGTTTTCCATGCATTTTGCATGTGAGTTTTGAGGGTGGTTGCGTTCAGGCGGTGCTAACAATGTTATCAGAAAAACAATATGGGAAATGCTTTAAGTTCATCAATCGTAAAGGGTTCTCCTGCATGGCTTATATGCCAAGTAATAACTTCATATACCCATGAAGAAAATATGTGGAAAAAAATACTTGTTGCTTAACTTTTTGTGAGGAGTATAGTAAAAAAAATTATTATGAAATCTGCGACTGCACATCTGACGTTGTACTCAATTTATACAAAACCGAAACAAGACTTTTTCCCATGTAAATTATCTTAATAGGAAAATCATGATAGAATTCTAATCCACAATTGTATGTATGCAATGCCTGAAGAATGTGCAGCATTTTAGACCATAACGTGATGGCGTCCTGTCGCAAGTGCAGTAGTGATATAAACTTAAAAGAAAACTTTCAAAGCACATTATAGATAAGTTCACTGAAGTACCTTCGAATTCCGCCAGGTAACATCAGTGCCATACCAACAAGTTAATGTGATCCACTTCCGGCTAAAACAGTTGGTCCGGATTTTTGTGGGATAGCTGGAGTTTCTAACCAGGCGCTACACATAGTCTAAATATCGACTTTGAATTTCAACATTAGGTCATGAAAATATTGTGTTGATGGTGTTAAAATATCAGATGGCATGGAACCTGTAGGCATCTTGATCGCTTGTCCATCACTGTTGACACTATAGCATGACTATGCTCTTTATCCAGTATCAATGGATTTTTTGGGCAAAATGCATCTATAAAAAGGTTGACATATCGACCGTTTGCGCCGCCACTTGGCAGACCATTACAAACCAACAGGCGAGTCATTCCGACAACAGCGTAAAGACAATACGACACCGTGGTTTATTTTTCTTAGGATTGTATTAGCCTATCATCTGAGATCACGGGCTGCTTCTGGGGAAATGATGATCGGGGGATTCGCTCGCCATCACGAACGTAACATTGTGAATCAGAGGATATCGACATTTGAACATGTTTGTAGACCAGGGTTAATTGCTTCACAATGGCGTGCGTGATGTTCTGCCCACTCTTCAATCTATCCAGACGCGGGGAGAGAGAACATTTAAACAAGGCGAACAAATTAAACCATTATGCACACTTATTTCTGTTTAATTATTTCATGGAGATATGGATTTTCTCGACTGACTTGCTAAAGCACACGTAAGTGTGTGCCGAATGTGATTTACGAGTATTTCGGACTGCGAATTTGTAAAAGTGAACTTGCCTTGAACTTGAATCTGTGACAAGCTAACGACTTATCTATGAGCATTGTGAGTTTACAAATACGTGTGTGATTTCACTTTCGATTTGTTTTCAGATTTCATTTGGATGGTATTGTTATTTAAATAAATTAAATCCAAATCAGGCCGAGATGCAAATAAGCAGGGATGTACAGAAAACATCTGTGGTAGAAAACTGACTTTTACATCAGGTTGTATTTTCTACGCAAATACCGTCAGGGTAAGTCGGGTTATTTAGTTAACCCTTATTGTATTTATGTGTTTATGTTAGTTTGATCTATTATACAGGAACGTCAAGCAAGGTCAAGGTCGTAGCAGATACGGTGGATGTAAACCAGTGTATTTAAAGTGCAGAAACCCGCGGTCACAGACCTTGATGAAACACACCCGTTCAATTCTAGATCCTTACATTCGGTGTCATGGCTGAAATAACGTCGATCGAACGTTACAATTTCTCTCACTCAGATGCATTGTCACTCGCCACATGTTCTGAAATAACATCAATGAAGTGTTACATTTTCACTCACTCACTTAAATGCACTGTCAGTCGTCTCATTGGCTGAAGCAACGTCAATGGGACTATATTTTCACTCACTCACATGCGGAGTCACACGTCGCAATGGATGAAATAACGTCGATGGTATGTTCCGTTTTCACTCACTCACTTGAATGCATTGTCAACCGTCCCAATGGCTGAAATAACTTTATTGGGATATTCCGTTTTCACTCTCGCCTACAGGCAGTGTCACTCGTCGCAATGGCTGAAATAACGTCAATGTGACGTTACATTTTCACTCACTCGTTTACATGCAGGTCGGGTAGTCTATGACATATTAACTACAGTACCCACAAATCGATGGCGTGGTCTATTACTGGCTGTCTACAAACAATGGTCCTGAATCATTTTTAGTCGCACATCTTGGCTTATTGTAACCTACATTGATCTTAGCCTCGCCTGCTCTGTGCAAGTGGATGGTGATTGTAGCCGAAGCTTAAGCTAAAAAGATCGCGACCTAAGAATCTAAAAAAATGTAGCGGTAAGATTGTTTTGTGCAAGTGGGCCCTGGAATTTTGCCGACCACTGAAACGATTCAAACATTAACTTTGCCAAATTGTCGTGTTTTGGGGATGATAGCTGCATGGCTTGTGTTTGTACTGGAATAGCTCATTAGGATTTGTCTCAGCTTACCAAATGACATGATGCAGAAAAGTGAGTTAATATCACGACACTTGCTTCAGCTTTCTTCAAGATATGACGTCATTACAAAAACTGCGTTGTGACAGGCTATGTTTGAGCAATTTAGCCTTATCTTTGCAGATTTCGACATGCTTTGCACTCGTCAGGGTGAAATGTTAATTGTAGGATAATTTCTTCAAAAACTGAATTAACCAGCAATGCATAAACTTTTTGCGACATCAACTAGTATCAGACTAACACGTACGTCAAAGCAGCTTAAACGAATGAGGCACGAAAAATGAAATAGGTAAGCTGATGTTATCAAAGAGCTCAGTTGTCTCCACAAACAAAGCATATTTCGTTTCAGGTCTTGGTCAATGCTGAATTACGTTTGTTAACGTCGCACTCAGCAATTTCCGAGCTATATGACAGCGGTCAGTAAACAATCGAGCCTGGGCCACCACGTCCAGTGATCAACAGCATGAGCATCGATCTACGCAACTGGGATACAATGACATGTGTCAACCAAGTAAGCGAGCCTGACCACCCGATCCCGTTCGTCTCCTCTTACCATAAGCATCGTTTGCTGGAGACCAGGTCTAACCCGGACATAACGCTGATAGTCGACATACAGTTATGGTTCGGAATTCCGATATCGCTAATGATGCCTTAGCCCCAATTATAACCCCTTCTGTGTAGGCTACAACAAATACAGCAGGTTATCAAGCGTGGGGATTCACCCGTCTCCAGTCAGCCATGTGCTGCTCTGATATGTCTGTGGTTTGAACGTGTGTTCCTCGAAATAATACCGTTACGATAAACACTGTTAAATACCCAAAATCCATTCGAAACCTTAGCCTCGAATATGAATTACAGAACGCGGAACAAATTACATTTGTTTGATCTGGGGGTTATCAAATTGGTTCCTAGATATTACATTGTGATTGCCAGTGGTGGTTTTAAATATTTGTGGTAGGAACGTGTGTTCCATAGTTACCACACGCTTTTTCCTCATCGAGTTGATGCGTTACCCGTGAAGATCCGGGTTTGACTGGGGGCCTGTTCGATTATTGCAAAACTGGTTTTGGTTTTTGAAACTGGTTTCTCCTGTAATAAACGAGTGTCTAGTTTCGGGTACATGGTTTCAAAGTGAAACTAGTTTCTAGTTTTATAAACGAGTGGATGGTTTCACCATCCGGTTTCAAAATGGATACCAAAAAAATGTCTCAGCTACTGTATATGTGGAATGAATTGGATGACAGTATATGTTTTTCATTTTATCAGTGAATTAACCAATAATAAAGAGATGAGATGCTTTGGAGGGAAATATAAATTTGCGTATATGTAATTATACTGTTGCAAGTAATTATATATATACAAGTTACATAAAATAGTCATGATCAATAGACTGGGGTTTTAAATAATATTTTCCTAGTTCTCAGTTGATTTTTGGCATTATTTTGGTTCCAAAAACTGCTGCTCTATTTTGCCACCAAGATCAGCTGAACTTGGCGCTTCGTTTCCGCCATTTTTGTTGTGAGAGAACGCAAAACTGAAACTGCGAAACCTGCCTCGGAGATGGTTTCAAAGTTTCAGAACCCAGTTTTAGGTTTCGACATAATCGAGTGCATGGTTTTCCCGAAACCAAAACCGGTTTAGCATAATCAAATAGGCCCTTGGTCTTCAGCAACCCATGCTTGTCTTAACAGGCGACTTACGGGATCGGGTGGTCACGCTCGCTGGCTTGGTTGACACATATAATCGTATCCCAATTGCGTGGATCGATGCTCATGATATTCATCACTGGATTGTCTGGTCAAGACTCAATTATTTTCAGACTGACACCATATATATAGCTGGAACATTGCAGAGTGCGGCGTTAAACAACAAACAAACAGTTGATGCGTTGGAAACAGCTGACAAACTTCCATTTCAATTTGGTATTATCATTATTATTTTTATACGACCCTTTGACGGCACACAACAACGCTTCTGTGTGAAGGGACTCGCGGTTATGTATACAACACAAAGAAGTTAAAGAGCATCAGGTTATATTTCGGGTGGTATTGCTAATGTGATTCTAGTTAATTTATCATGTCGATTTTATAAAGTTTGGCTTTTGGGTCCATTTTCTCATGTAACTCTATTTAATCTGTCATGCTATTATCGATGCTGACATGTGGTTTCTTTTTCATCTGAGTATTATTAATCTGGCTCGACATCGATACATGTATTTATTACCTATGAGGGCAAACATATCGGGGTTCATATTTTTCAAACGATACCCTAGGGCAAAATATCACTTTACAAGAGGTGTTCCATGTCAAGCCTCGATTTCGAAGGGAACTACTTTTTTCATTCATGAATTTTTACTGTACTTTACTACGTTCATTCACAGCTTGGCATTTCGGAGATAACCTCAACTCGAATTCCGCTTGCCATATTATTGTTATTAAAACAAGGTTGTTCAATTGAGTATATTTTTCAATAAAATACATAAACCAATTAGAAATCTACAATTCTTTACATTTTTACTTACATGCTTGTTACATCGATTGATTAACTAACCTGCAGGCAACAAGGTAAACAAACAATATGGCTGCCCTATCGGTTTTACCGCAGTCAATCAGAGTCATCGATCTTGTCACGATCGAGGTTGTGAAACAAGTTCAAATTAAGACACTGCCTTCAAGTTCTCCCCGAGACTGTCACTCGTTCACTTGTGCCTGGCAGTCTCATAGTTGTCATGTGAACCAGCAACGTGTTCCACCGGTGACGTCACATTTGTGACGTAATCATTGTTGACTTTGCTCTACGTTCTAAAGTTGCTATTTCAAACATACTTCGTGTTTAAACGTTGTGAATTACATACGTACGACGGAAATATATTCTTACGTTATTATTTAAAATCAAGGTTGACAAGTGTGTCGTAAACGTAGTATGACATGGACACTCATACAATATCCTCTATATAGATAGGGTGCTCTTTATCTTCTTTCAAGAAGTGGGGTAGCCAAGTGGTTAAAGTGTTCGCTCGTCGCGCCGAAGACCCGGGTTCTATCCCCACATGGGTACAATGTGTGAAGCCTAGTTCTGGTGTCACCCTTCTGATATATTGCTGGGCCCCGATTTTCGAAGCTCTCTTAGCACTAAGATAGTCGTAAGTGCCATACATTAACATTAACTTTCGACTATCTTAGCGCTAAGAGAGCTTTGAAAATCGAGGCCCTGGAATATTGCTAAAAGCTGCGTCAAACCCATCTCACTGACTTACTCTTTCGAGTAGTATATCAGCGACCTGCTGACGTTTGGTACATAGCTCCCTCCTGGTGTCAACGGATGCAGCGCAAGGTCATCTGTCTCATCCCCTAGGTTTACTGGTGTTATAACAGGCCTACAGCAACCTTGTGTGTGAGAGGTGACTGTATCGATCGGGTGGTCAGGCTCGGTTGCCTGTCATTGAAAGTGGCTCGTATGATCAATAACTGGATTGTCTGGTCCGGATTCATTATTTACAGGTCACTGTCATGTAGCTGGAATATTGCTGAGTGTGTACTTACCAGAAACAAACAAGGCAGATGCGGTTCGTCATTATTATTACTATTATTGGGAGTAGCTTAACGGTTAAATCATTCGCTCGTCACGTCGGGTTCGATTCCCTACGTGGGCACGACCTTTGAAGCCCATTTCTCCAGGCTAGCTATTCTCGAACGTTCGTAGCCCTACGAACTTCTTAAGCCCGTCTTAACACATTGGCTACGATCAAAGTTAAGAATTCTTAGGGTTACGAACGTTTCGACAATAAGGCCCCTGTTTTCCAGGGGTCCGGTTTACTTGGTCCCGTCTAGAAAAGTCATATTTGGCTGTCGTAATTTGGGCCCCGAACTGGATCTTGACTATACGTTTGTCACCCGAAATCTGGTACCGGAAGTAAGCTGGGCCCTGTCTTACAAGTTGCCGGGCAAAGGGAGTCGGGAACCAGCTTAGTACCGGAAGTAGCGCCTCGCGAAGGTGTCTGACCCGTGAAGATCGGGTTAGAATTGGTCTTCATAAAACCATGCTTGTCGTAAGAGGCGACTAACTGGATCTGGTGGTCATGCTTGCTGACTTGGTTGACACATGTCATCGTATCCCAACTGTATAGATTGATGCTCATGCTGTTGACTACCGGATTGTCACCAAATGGATCGCTGCTCACGGTGAGCATATCCCGACACAACAGTGGTTCAAGTTATAGGTTCAGATAGGCAAGATTAGTGCTTGAAGTCCAACAACAAAGTAAACTCACATCAATTTCAGTGCTTGAGGTCCCATCACACATAATCCATAGATCAAGTGCCAAGGTATTCACCAGAGCCACCACTGTCTTCAAGAAAAGACAACTTGATAAAACAAAAGATTCCAAATCATGTAAGAATGGTTTATTTGTCACTGCTTAAAGCTTAATGCTCCAAATAACTCACAATGTCAGGCACGCTAGAGAACGAAGCTCGGGTTGGATGATACAGATACACACAAATAGCTAGCTACTACGGACACCACTGTCTTTGAATGGTAGCTCCACCATATTGCATATAGTTCACACAAGACAGCCAGGCTATGTCCGAGTGAATGACCTATAGAGCAGGTCAGTGTTCTATTGAATGACCTATAGAGCAGATCAATGGTCTATTCATTTGCCTATAGAATCAAATCAACGTTCTATTGAATGACCTATAGAGCAAATCAATGTTCTATTAAATGAACTACAGAGCAAGTCCCTCCTCATGAATACAATCAATAAAATTTGCAGAACATTTCCACCAACTCAAATCAACTTCTTAGACAACATTTACATGACCATATAAAATCTGAACTTGAAATGTTTCACAAGACACATGCATGAATATGTATATCACAATAATCTAAAATACACAATTATTTTTCAATTCTAAAAAATTGTTTTGTTCTTCAGTAATGACCATTTCTGAAAGGAGGGACAATCTAAAAGCATTTCTACTAGCTAACAGTAAGCTCTGGTTCAATATTAGCTGTCCATAAAGACTTAGTGGAGTAGATATCAAAATTAGAAAGGAAATGAGAGCTTATTTTGTCAGTTACTATGGTTACCCTCATAATGGAATATAGGACCTTAACTGCTCATCATCTAATGAAAAATGACGCTTGGTTAAGATAAGAACAAGAAGACACAACAGACCGGCTGTTTACATAAAACTAAATATACAAAAGCAAAGATGTGAAAGTTGAGTTGCTTCTTTGGCAGTGAAGAGAAAATAAATAAATACATGATAGAAATGAACCTCTGACAGGATTTCCTAAAATCATCGATGTCACATAATCTGGAAATGATACAAAAGTTGTAAGAGATGGGAAACTATCAATAAATTACAAGTCACAGATGATACAAAACACATTACAACACAAATTATATAAAAACCGGCAATGAACATGATAAGTTATAGCTGAAAATTCGACTTCTAGGGTCAACATATTGGGGACATCTTACACTACACAACGCCATGAAACACTGACTTGTCAATTCTGCTTCCACCAGATAAATAACCATGTTCTAGGTGGCTGATAAGAAATCCATCAGTAGCTCAAACAAATAATATTGTGTCCTAAAACATGTCCTAAACGTACATGAATACTTCTTCGACATAATATTTTGAGTTCTGTTAGTTGTAACTTCTTCGTTTGTGTCAGACAACATCTTGAGGTCATAAAGGACTTAGATATATTCTCCTCAAAAGAAATTAAGGACACATTCTTTCATAACAAAAGATAGTAATCATGGCAAGACATATCAACTAACTACAGTAACATGAAACAGCCAGGCGATCCTTTGAGTAGTACATAATTAGCATGGTCATACTTATTTATGGTCAGAGGGTCCCTTTAAGACATCTGTATGCTGTGCAATAATGCAACTGGCGTTTTATAAGTCTACTATGGCTTTGCTGCATTCATGTTGAACATGACAATGAGCATGATGTCATGTCATGACAACTAAAATTAACAAAACAATAGTAACTTTATCGCACATAATGGTATTCCTCATGTTAAAAACATGGGATGACAGGTTGTATCTCTGTTGAAACTAGGTTAATACGTAGAATAAACCGTGTGAATTATGAAATTATTTGGATTACAACTTTGGTTTCAAGTACGATTCATTTGTTGGAATATACTGCAGGATTTCCTTTTCATGACATACATGCCAAACCATGGCACACCTAGATCATTGCGAAACTACGAAAACGAGATCAGAATCTTGGCTGAGCAAAACTGAAAAGTCATAGTTCAGTATCCATGTGTACAGTAAGTTCCAAATTAAAGTATGTAACATCCAATTACACAGACATGATGTATGGTGAGAAATACACGAACACAGTGGATAGGACCCAAAAATGTGAAGGTCACTTATTGAAGGTCAGTTGTCACCTTGTGAACTCCACCAAAAAATTTATCATATGGGATTATGTCATAAGAAATGACCCTGAATACAAGGGGAATGTGTTTTGTAATTGCATAATAATATCATATATCTAAAATAGAACCAACTCCATATTAAAACGGAAACGTGAATTTATCGATAGACAACTTTGGTGCAAAATAAATAATTTGTATGTCATTTCCATATGTATAAAATCAGTTTCATGATAATGTGCATTTTGATAAAAATGCATAGATTTATGAACTATAAAATTTATCTTGAACTAAAATACGGAGAGGCACATTGGAAATTGAAAAAGACATTTTGTGACATCTTTGAGAGATATGCATATCCTGCAAAATATCATGGAGGAAATATCCATATATGGACACAACATTCAAATTACATAACGTCAGCGAAGACAAATACATGGCTTAAGCATACAATAATGCATTAAAGCATAAGAAAGCAATGCATCCAATGAGCATAATGTGATACTTCATTCATTAGTGAAGAGTATTGCATTAATGCATGACATTCGAGTAATGCAATAATGCATTACATAAGCATTGGCAAATGCATTCATAATGCATTGTTACTGAATAATTTGATAATGCATTAAGTTAGCATTGCGCAATACAGTAATGCTTTACAGCTTAGAGTAATGGAACATATTGCATTACTTTGTCTTAGAGTAATACAATAGTACTTTCATTATGTTTGAAGTTGAGCAAATCACAATGAACTAAGGAGAGATTGAGAACAAATATAGCACCATGGTAGCTTTAATTTACATTTTACAATCCTTTCTGATGTCATACCAGTGTCTGAACACGGATTTATTGTGGCCTAATGTTCCAAAACAAGCTTGTGGAAAATGACAGTAAAAATTCCCAACATAAATTAAACATTTCCCAATTCTACCAAATTTACAAAATTAACATTACAATAATCCAGTTTTGCAACATCACAATTATTTCACTTTGCCAGCTGACTTGTTTGGAATCATAGATAAATCCTGTTTAGACCTTAGAGATGGACTATGCTTGGGATAAACAGGTTTGTGTGCACCTCAATGCTGTGTCTTGAAACTCACCATAGAATTCTTCATGTACAGTTATTCCCATTAGTAAATTACTTCATGAACTTAACTGAAAATGAATTCAATAACATGTAATTGAAGCACTTCTACTGACAAGCATACACTACAATCAAGGACTATTTGATAGCCACATAAAGCTGGGTTTCCATTGAAACATACATCAGTCTTGTAAAATCTGTTGCACAAAGTCAGTAAGGTTTCCATAGACATTTAACAATGTTCAGCCATGTATTTCAGGAGACAGTCTTTGATAAACTTCAGTCGCAGTTGATCCCTCCTCCACACATACCCCACAGACACATTTGATGCTTCACACAATACACAAGGTCAAGGACACAGTTATACTCTATGGCAGATGTCGAGCGCCTGACGATAAACTTGTCGAGCATCTTCAATATCAAACATTCGGTCATCGTAGAGAACTTTGGTTTGAGGCTGTGACCTACCCTCAAGGTTCAAGGCACTGAAGTCACTGGATAGCGGGAAAGCGTCGAACCTAGGTCCCTCAGTAGCCAGGGGGCTTATGTTTTGACTTTCACGTTTTAAACTCTGACGGTCATACTTTCCCAGAAACTGATCTCCATCTGCACTGTCAAACGAAAGGTCCAGGATATCGGCTGAAGAATTGGAGCTAAGACTCCCAACACTGAGGCGGTTCCTTGGATCCTCCATTGTGGTGCCGCCTTTTTTCAGGATTCCTTTTCTCCGACGCACTACTTTTGTTGTACTACATGTGCAAACAGTTTGTGGATTATTTGAGAAATTTTCATCAGAGGATATACATATACTGATTGAGCTAGTGACGTTGCCGCTCGGCACGACGTCAGTCTTGTTTGAAGGAAGAGTATGGACCACACATTCCTCCGTCACGTCACATGACCCCGAGGTTGGCGTACTGGATGAGGTTTTGGACAAGTCTATATTTATATCACAGTCTTCATAGCTGAGATCTTCACAATCACTTGCACGTTTGGGAGACTCTTCATCTTCTATTTTCCTGGCCAAATCGTCTCTCAAATCACAACCACTGTCTCCGCCTGAGAATTTGCCGCGTCGCTTCAGGATCCCACGACGTGGCTTCTTGTCGCAGTCGAAAACCTTTTTTGTCTCATCCCCAGAATTATTGTCCAAAGTACCACACAAATCCTGTGATGCATTGGACGGCTGGTCATCGGGTTCCATGTGAACATTGCTGGAAGGAGCCGAGATTTTATCACAAGCATCGGGAGACGTTTTCGAGCTCACAATATCAAACAGAGCTTCATCTTCATCGAAAGAACTTTCAACTGTCTTTTTTCAATATTCCTTTGACTGATCCACTCTTGTAGCGGGTCTCGTACTCACTCTCACTGTCCGATGAGTAGCTGTGATGATGGGAGAGAGATTTGGGAGGGATTTGGATCCGGGGATAGGGTTCGAGATTAGGGGTGTGGCTGTAGCCCTCGTTAATCCACCAGTGCCCGAGCACGTCCTCCATGGTGGCACGTTTGGCGGGGTTGACACTTAGCAGCTGCCGGATCAGCCCACCAGCCTCTGCAACAGACATGAGAACATTAGGAACACGTCCTGACAAGATGGTCAAGCACCAAATCCCAAAGCTTTGAAGCTCCGCTCACCATCATCTCTGGATCATGCAACATCATACAAACAGCTTGAACGTAATTCTGACATTGGCACCAGAAGACATGAAACTTACAGCTGCTATATAATCCTCGTGTGATCGGTTTTCAGAACACTTAACAACATCCCATCTTTCTCTGAGTGAGTGAGTGAGTGAGTTTAGTTTTACGCAGCACCCAGCAATATTCCAGCTATATGGCGGTCTGTAAGTAATTGTGTCAGGACCAGACAATCCAGTGATCATCAGCATGAGCATCGATCTACACAATTGGGAACCGATGACATGTGTCAACCCAGTCAGCGAGCCTGACCACCCGATCCCGTTAGTCGCCTCTTACGACAAGCATGGGTTACTGACGATTAATTCTAACCCGGACTGATAATGACCAACTCTCCATCATTACAAAGCAATATGTCATACTAACACAGAAAGCTGATTCCACATGCAGAAATACAATTATGCATCCTCACAATGCAGACAGGCATGACAAAACATGCTTAAGTGACTCTTGTACAAAATTCGTTCAGCAAAAGATATATAGGTCAATGTGATGAAAACAAGTATGACCCGATTCATCTTTTATTGTGGTCACATGACCTGTAGCAACATGAATACAGGTCGCTTGTTCCACTGACCTGTCAAACACAAACACTTCATACCCCAATGTTGTCAATATCATACGTAACCTAAATAACAAATCTACAGCAAGAATACAGTAATAACGCTCAGTATTATTTGCTGGGCCTGGAAAAAAGGTTCATGTTACGGAAAATGAAAGCGGAATCTACAAAATATACTGATGGAAACAACTAAGGTAACACCACTTCATGGCAGTGTTCATTTACTTATTCCGAGATTTCCCCCACAGCGCTATTCAAAGCTGGTGATGAAAACTAGAAAATATTAAAGGAATGCTTGAATTTTCCTGTGTTCCTTTATTTGTTGTTCTCAGCATATACTGCCATGCATCTGTTGTCAATACTTTTTTCACTACAGTACTACCTATGCATAATGTGCACCTTCTTTGAGTCATGCCGTCGTTTGGAAAAAGAGATTTTAAAACATATTAAGCATCACATGCAGAAATGGGAAAACTACACATTACTAACCGGGTATTGCATCAGTATGCTTTACCATATACAACTCAAGATTTTGATAAGTGGGTGAGAAACTACATTGTATTGCATCAGTATTTTACATATACAGCTCAACATTTTACTTATTCCACAATACTATACTAGTACATCATATCTTTTGTTTTTGCTTGTTTGTTTGTTGTTTAACATGGCACTCAGCAATATTCTGGCAAAAAAGGTGGCGTTCTGTAAATAACTAAGTCTGGACCAGATATCTTTGTATCTCATAAATAAAGTTAAAAGCATCCATTTAGTTTAAAGCATTCAAGCATGGAACAACTACACTTTTCTCTGTTTCTCATATATATTATTATACCATTTGTATTTAGTATAAAATACCAACTGACATTAACTGTCAGAGCAAGATCATTTATGATTTTAACCTTAACTTTGCATATTTTTTGTGTGTAGCAGTTCAAATAATACTTATAGTGAATAAAACACTGGTATTTTTCCTCTCAAGATATTTGCATAGAAAATTAAGCGTTATTCAACCCTGATATTTATAACATTGAAATTTTGCCTCATGCCCTCATTTTAACACAGACTAAAAAATTTGATTTGGTTTAAATAATGAAACTCAGAATCAATTACTGTAAATTTTACCACACAGTGATCAAAAATTGATTTCTACACTCAACTTAGCTGAAAGTGGATACAGAGATTTGAAATATAGCCATATTAATGCTTAAAATATACATGCTAAAATGTAGATGCTAAAATGTCAAAATCTGTGCTAAAACATGGAAAAATAGTGGATGTGGTGCTTTGAGTTCTCTGCACAAGATAGCCATGTCCCACAAAACAAACTTATCGCTAAAGTGATCGTAACTCTCAATACTTTAATACATCATGATAGCACTGAGAACACTTTGCTTGTTGTTTTATGCTGCACTCAGCAATATTCCAGCTATATAGCGGTGGTCTGTAAATAATCGAGTTGGGATCAGACAATCCAGTGATCAACATCATGAGCATCAATCTACGCAATTGGGATACAATGACCTGTGTCAACCAAGTCATACTTCAATGCTGGTTTACATCATTATATCACTAAGGTTGCTTTGTGGAATGTGGACAAGGATTCTTGAATTATGTTCTAATTAAGTCATAATAATAATCATAATTCTTTCTCCCAAGCATTACCTGATTGGTGTGAGGGTTCGTAGTATTCCCCACTTGAGATCTGTTTGCGCAGGACTTTGAGGTTGGCGTTCTCGAAGGGCATGGCGCCATACACCAGAGTATACAGCACCACTCCAAGACTCCACATGTCCACCTGCAATAAATAGTGGTCGTTAGAACAGCCTGTCAATCGTCATATATACACCTTTCCTTCCAGAAGTAACGATGGATAACTATACAAAAGACTTTAAGATCATCTGATTCTCTCATTGTCATGGGGGCTGTGGGGTAGCCTAGTGGTTAAAGCATTGGCTCGTCAAGCCGAAGACCCGGGTTCGAATCCCCACATGGGTACAATGTGTGAAGCCCTTTTCTGGTGTCCCCCGCCGTGATGTTGCTGGAATATTGCTAAAAGCGGCGTAAAACCAAACTCAGTCAGTCAGTCAGTCTCATTGTCATGACAGATTACTACAGTAATGTACAAGAATCAAGTTCATCTTATCTAGTCTATTTCAGGAACTTGTATCTTGTACCTAATACTTGAAAATTTCATATTGAAAACAGCATAAAAACTTTATTAAGAAGATCTAAAAAGATTTGCTTGTTTTGTTTGGATGGTGTTTAACGCCGCTCTCATCAATATTACGGTCTGTAAATAATCGAGTCTGGACCAGACAATCCAGTGATCAACAGCATGAGCATCGATCTGCGCAATTGGGAACCGATGACATGTGTCAACCAAGTCAGCGAAACTGACCACCCGATCCCGTTAGTCGCCTCTTACGACAAGATAGTCGCCTTTTTATGGCAAGCACATGGGTTGCTGAAGACCTATTCTACCCCGGATCTTCACGGGTCATTTGATTTCTACACTCACTTAGCTGATTTACAATAGCGATATAAATGCATAAAAATATAGATGCTAAAATGTCAAAATCTGTGCTAAAACATGGAAAAATAGTGGATGTGGTGCTTTGAGTTCTCTGCACAAGATAGCCATGTCCCACAAAACAAACTTATCGCTAAAGTGATCGTAACTCTCAATACTTTAATACATCATGATAGCACTGAGAACACTTTGCTTGTTGTTTTATGCTGCACTCAGCAATATTCCAGCTATATAGCGGTGGTCTGTAAATAATCGAGTTGGGATCAGACAATCCAGTGATCAACATCATGAGCATCAATCTACGCAATTGGGATACAATGACCTGTGTCAACCAAGTCATACTTCAATGCTGGTTTACATCATTATATCACTAAGGTTGCTTTGTGGAATGTGGACAAGGATTCTTGAATTATGTTCTAATTAAGTCATAATAATAATCATAATTCTTTCTCCCAAGCATTACCTGATTGATGTGAGGGTTAAGTAGTATTCCCCACTTGAGATCTGTTTGGCGCCCAGGACCTTGAGGTTGGCGTTCTCGAAGGGCATGGCGCCATACACCAGAGTATACAGCACCACTCCAAGACTCCACATGTCCACCTGCAATAAATAGTGGTCGTTAGAACAGCCTGTCAATCGTCATATATACACCTTTCCTTCCAGAAGTAACGATGGATAACTATACAAAAGACTTTAAGATCATCTGATTCTCTCATTGTCATGGGGGCGGTGGGGTAGCCTAGTGGTTAAAGCATTGGCTCGTCAAGCCGAAGACCCGGGTTCGAATCCCCACATGGGTACAATGTGTGAAGCCCTTTTCTGGTGTCCCCCGCCGTGATGTTGCTGGAATATTGCTAAAAGCGGCGTAAAACCAAACTCAGTCAGTCAGTCAGTCTCATTGTCATGACAGATTACTACAGTAATGTACAAGAATCAAGTTCATCTTATCTAGTCTATTTCAGGAACTTGTATCTTGTACCTAATACTTGAAAATTTCATATTGAAAACAGCATAAAAAACTTTATTAAGAAGATCTAAAAAGATTTGCTTGTTTTGTTTGGATGGTGTTTAACGCCGCTCTCATCAATATTACAGTCAGGATAAGATCAACTGCCCCTCCCTATAATAAATGACCAGTACTATATAAGCAGTGAAACTAAATAAGATCTTCAGGGTTTTAAACAAAACTGATTAAATGGCAGCCAGTATCAATACATATAATGTCCTGTATATTGTGCTATATTCCCCCAAAATGTACACTATCATTTTATTTTCAACTAAAATTCCTACTTGTGATTCATACACCTTGATAATAATCTGTGCATTAAAAGATATTCTCCTTAAGTTTAGTGCACTTAAATTCAAAAAAGGATTTTCTGATTTTAATCTCAAAATTATACTGCATGGCAGACAGACATGGTATCTCGAGAAAGCTTTCAAATTGCGAAATCTAGTAGATCAGGATACACATATTTTTAAATTTTGCAAGTCAGTATAGATTAAAGCTAAGCAAGTCACGCATGTAATGTAGAACACTAGATAGCTATACAAGGTCTCCAGGCTGCAGATCATATATATGTCAGCTGGTTATAGTGGAAATTCTCCCGGAGTGAGTGAGTTTAGTTTCATGCCGCTCTTAGCAATAGTCAAGCAATATCATGGAGAAATGGCTTCATGCATTGTACACAGTCTGTCCCAGAAAAGAGACAATTCATTGAACACATACTGTGTGTGACTTTGGCCTTACTGTGAATTTAGCTATATTACAGAAATAACATGGATGGGGACACCCGAAATAGACATCACATATTGTACTGATGTCGGGAATCGAACCCAGGACTTCACATGACCCTTCAACCACTAGGCTACCCCCCATCCCTGCTCTATCCACAGAAACACTAAGGTAATGGAGTAAGATTTAGTGGCCCTTGGAACATTATATACATTGTATATAACAGTGGGTGTGGTTATTGAGGGAGGAAAACCCAGAGTAGCAGAGATTAAACATGGTTACCAACTTGGTAGAATCCATTAATACCAAAAATGTAGGATCCTGGCACAATAAAGAAATGTAACTCTGCGCAGTGAGTTGTTTTGCCTCAGACCAATTGGGAATCCTCATTCACTGGGGACTGCAATCGGCCATGTCGGACAAACCCAGAAACTTCAGTGACGCCAGACCAATTTTATTTCTTGTTTTACGGATCTGTCATATTTGTTTTGTCGTATTTTTTCAAGAATAAGAAAAAAAATAAAAGTTAGTTTTTCCCGCTCAAAAAATAAAATCATAATGTTTTATTGGTCAAACATGTAAATTTACAAGAAAATCTTTTTTTAGATTGTGTTTTGCCCCATATACACTTCATAAATTGCCAAAAGTAAAATACTTTTATATTTATTAATTTAAAAAAAAGAAAATCCCTCCTGCTGTTAGGTTTTCTGAGGACAAAAATCCGTAAAACAAGAAATAAAATTGGTCTGGCCTGAGTTAGGTTTAACACTGATTGGTCCAGAGTGAAAGGGACAGACATTTACCAATTTGGTGGAACCTAGAAACCTGGCCACAGCAAACCTGGACTCAAACACGCTCCATGTTTCTCGCAACAACTGCACAACGACTTGTAATGGCTGGCTAGACACACTGACATGGCAGAAATAATAAAAGGAAATGTTTCACTGTCACTCTTCTAATCTTAGCACGAACATCTCCCACCTAAGCAATTCCTAAGATTACAGAAGAAATACAAGCAGGTACTCTTCACAAAGCGACATACCATAAATACATATAACACATAAAATTTTAATCGGTGAGTTACTAACTCCACAAAAATGTCTCATCAAAAGGAAACTTTACCACCTGGCTGAAGATCAATCCTACACATCAATCTCATGCCAAGCTGAACATGAAAATGTACGCGCCCTTCAACACCCTCAATTTTCAAGCACTGCTCCAGCAAACCGTATTAGTGATATAGATAGGTCTAACAAGCCAGAACTCCTTGAAGGCTTTCAGACCGTGGAGAACTCAGTTAATGTATCAGACTTTACAGAAGGATGACAATAAGAAACTTCGACCCACCGACATACTGCCGCACCAACAATGTTGCTATCTCCATGGTTATATTTAGAACTAAATTGGTGGAGATGTATACGACAGGTGATTTAGATGTCAGAAGTGGCATATTTGATGGAGGAACATGTCAATCGAACAAAATTATTTAGGGACAGACAGGTTTCTAAGTGCTTAGGGTTATGTAAGTTGTCAATGCCCTAATAAATGACAGAAAGAAAATATCAGTTGTGAATCTTCGAGGGGTATAAATCTGAAAACATATTTCTTCCAACTGCCCCTTAGATCATGTACACAGATATTATATACTAATACAAAACCCATTAAGGAATAATTGATTTTTTTTCACCATAGAGTCTGTCCTGGTGTGGCAGATTAACTTTAGCTATATGAAATAATAAGGTTTTCTGTAACTTTTTAGTTGTATATCTAAAGCTCTTTATTCACTAATTGTGATGTCTTATTCAATAATACTTACTACAGTGTGTATAATACAGTACTGTGATATACAAGTATTATTCACTAATACTTTTCATGATGTGTTATATTTACCGGTACTAATATTTCTTTAATACAATGGGTTTCATTTACTGACAAAATGTACATAAAGAAAAGTAAACATCTGAAAGAAATACAAGTCGAATGAGAATGAGTGGGTTTAACACTACATCAAAAAGTGAGTAGCAAACCGCTACAAAGTGAACACTGTCTGAAAAAAAAATTACTGCGAATCTCACAACGAGGGTAAAGAGATAAGAGCGTTTATGTGTAGGAGTAAATCTGATAATCTTCAAGAGTTTTATATGTTTGTAGTGCTGAAGTCGATTAAACTTGATGTCCTCACAAACGATTTTTGGTCGATATCTAATATACTGGCATAAACTATTCCCCCTGCATATGTCTGTCTACAGGATTATGTGGGTGTCCTTGTGCCGTGACACTAAATACTATAATCCATAGTCACATGTTAGCTTCACCAACCAATCAGTGTCAGAAAGAGGACACGAGAACATTAGACATGACATAATGAACAGACTTAAATGTCACAACTATGTACCTTTCACAAACTCCCGACATTGCCGTAACAATCACACAGCATGAGAATGACCCACGTAGCCACCCTGTACTAATGAATCTGACCCTGTATGGAGTTTTTCTTACATTTCTTAATCAATTTCCGATTTTTTCGACATGGTAACACTGCACCACGCTCCTGTGAGTCTGGAAGTGTTGTGACACTGCAACCCGATCCATCATGTGCTGATGTACAGAGGTCACATTAGCCATGACTACCCCCACTGTGATGGTGATCGAGATCACAGCTGATTATGACACGCTAGATTTCAATCAAGTCCGCCTGGGAGAGGTCGTAGCTACGATAGACGACAATTAGAAGTGTTTGCAATGACACAAGTCATGTTTGTAATTGCCGTGGACACGATACTGATCATACACTTGGAGACCCATGTATAAACACTGTAATCACAATATATGGCATTTTCCCCGATTGACAAACAGGTGAAAAGAGTTTTGTAAAATGTTGAGAATGAACTTTAAAAACTTGATTCATCAGTAACACATCTCAGAAACAATGTTTTATTTGTACTTTCTCCCTTCATCAGTAAAACATCCTGGTAGCAAGGTTTTACTTCTACTTTCACCCTTCATCAGTAAACATCCTGGTAGCAAGGTTTTACTTTTACTTTCTCTCTGCATTAGTAATAGATTCAAGCAACAATGATTTATTAAGTAAAATATCCCATTAACAATATCTCCTTTTTTACTTCTTTAATTCATCAGTAAAACATCCCAGTAACAATGTCTTATGTTTATTTTCCCCCTGCATCAGCAATAGATTCCAGTAACAATTTTTTATTTCTGCTTTTCCGTTTTATCTGTAAAACATCCCAGTAACAATGCAATATTGCTACGTTTCTGCTTTATCTGTAAAACAGTCCAGTGACAATCTCTTAGTTTTACTTTCTCCTTTCATCAGTAAAACAAATGTATAATTTTTAATTTTTTTACTTTATCAGTAAAATATTCCAGTAACAATGTCATATTTCTACCTCTCTTTTTTACTTCATCAGTAAAACATCTCAGTATATATGGTATTTTTCTACTTTCTGACTCCATCAGTAAAACATCCAAATAACAATGCATTATTTCTACTTTGTTCCCTCTTTGGTAAAACATGTCAGCAACAATGTCCTGAAGTGTTCAGTTCCACCATGTTGTTTCCGGTGTGCCACACAAACAAGGATATGTCAAGACACTCCCCCAGAGTTTAATAAACTTCAAATTGTTCATTAATTTTCAAGTCTCATGTTCTATCCCTTAGGCAAGAACCATCAGAATCAATTGATTCCCTGAAGTTCTACACCAGCAGCTGATTATTGTCACTACAGATGCATTTTCTTCTTCATTAAGCTCATGCCTCAAGTACCCCAGCGTGCAATACAGCGTTAGCGATATCAATAGCGAAGAGAAACCACTGGACAATTGCCCCACACTGACCTCTGGACCATGATACGGTTGACCATTCACGATTTCTGGTGAAGCGTAGAGGGGGCTTCCACAGAATGTAGAAAGTAGTTCATTATGCCCGAAATTGTTGGCGAGGCCGAAATCCGCAATCTGAAAAGGACATCAGGCATTTGAACTGGCATAACAATATGACCTCAAAATTATCGTTAACAGAGCTGACAACAGATTCCTCCAGGTCATGTGACTAACTTTCTGGATAATTTTTAAGTTTCACAGATATACATGTGAAAATAGCAGAAAGAGGATCCTGGCCAAGCATTCAAGAGGGACAGAAAATATCATTACGTTCAAGCAAACATTCCATACAAATAACCAACAATTATCACAGAATAATCGTGTTGTGGGTGCTTTTTCAAACACAGCAGTTAAGATTCACATCAATGTACATTCTTGTGGCATTGTCTGCGAGTGAGTGAGTGAGTGAGTGAGTGAGTGAGTCTGCGAGTGAGTGAGTGAGTGAGAGTGCCTCAATTTCAGTTAAATCACATCTGTAACTGGAAGATTTGACGTTCCACCAACCTTGACATTGGACTGCTCATCTAGGATGATGTTCTCCAGTTTGAGATCACGATGAACGACACCATTCTGAAAAACAGTTAACATTGTAGAATGTTAGCCATTTAATATGTTGCAGTATACCTCAGGACAGTAACCTATGTCATCTAATATTGTTCATATCCTGTCAGTACGCATAAAGTCATTTTTATGTCTGATCATGTATACGATCCTTGTGAAGAACCAGGTTAGAATTTGTCTACAGCATCATGGGCTTGTGACTGGTGAGTCTAATGCGATCAGGGGACCAGTCTTGCTGACCTGGTTGACACATGCCATTGTATCCCAGTTACATAGATGGATGCTCGTGATATCAATCACTGAATTGTCTAGTCCTGCCTTTGTTATATACATGGTTGTAATATACTGTGTGAGGCATTAATCAGTAAACTAACTGCTTTTCGCGCAATGTGACAATGTGTTATGATCTGAAATATTCTTTTTTATTTTCATAAACATAAAAAAGTGCCACTGACATTTGTCCTCAGTTCTTAACAACATAAGGATTATTCACCTTCAACACCCTTTTCTCTTCTTAATAATGAAAAAGTGAAGCCACTTTTAAGCCACTTTTAGCAATGGTGGCAGGGGGACACCAGAAATGGGTTTCACAGTTGCACCCATGTGGGGAATTGAACCCAGGTTTTTGACGTGAAGAGCTAAGGCTTTAACCACTAGGCTACCCAACCGCCCTAATAATAATGACCAAGTCTGTAAGGAAGGCTTTAGTGGAGTTGCCTTCATATTGTCTTCCATGGTCTCCACCACTTCCTCACATTAACGGAAGGGTGTTCCCATTGGCGCCAATCACACCATAATCTCGGTGGACATGCTGTTAGACTTGGTTCCCTCTGGCAATCAACTACCAGAGCCGAAATGCCAAAGCAGGAGCAGCAGCCATCAAAACCCAGAATTAAATTAAGTTATCACGATCCCAAAAGGTAAAAAAACGCAAGTAAACAGACAAGAGTGACATAAAAAAACGAGGTTAATATTGGTGACATGCGACATACCTGATGACAGTAATTGATGGCCGAGACGATTTGTCTGAAAATTCTCCGTGCGTCTTTCTCAGTGAGCCGGCGCCTTTCGTTGATGTAGTCGTAGAGCTCGCCGCCGAGGGCACAATCCATCACCATCACAATCTTGTCCTTCTTCTCAAACACTGAAACAAAAAGTATTTGGTCACAAAACTGAAGCGCAACACATTATCAAGGGTCAAGTACTCATTGAACACCTTCTGGCTATACTGCAGCGAAATAATTGAGGGCTGGCAGCGGGTTGTGGGTTGTGGATGAGGGTGGCAGAGGGTGGGAGGTTTTGGCTGAAGGTTGTTGATAAGGGTGGTGGGTTGTGGTTGAGGGTGGGGTGTTGAGGAGGAGGGGAAGATGTTTGGGGTGGAGACTGTGATGCTACAATTAGCATCTTGTATGTCAGTTGACTGAAAAAAATGTGTGGACAAAGTATTTTTTCCAGCATATTCTAACAGAAAAATTATTTATTTTACGTAATGCCCCCACCCCTCCCTACAGATTATATCAATCATACACATCACCCTGGAAGTCAATCACAGATGGCAAACTGAAACATGCCAGCATAGTCTTACGGAAATTGTTTTCAAGCATGAAAGGAGAAACAGGATTGTTCCCTAGAGGTGATTACCCTTGTTGTTCCCCCCTCAAGGCTGTGATTGGTCCCATGCCAGCTGGCTTCACATCATTAACGAGGCATTAACGTGGACAAGGTCCCTGGTGCCAGTAATTACATTGGACGCACACGTCCTTCAGAAGCTGCTGCCTATGGTCAAGGTCAGGATGGATATAATGATAGTAACCCTCATCATTAAAGGGACGGCACTAGTTGTACAGCCACCTGTTAACCCAACTACCATCATATTGCCTGACAAGATACGCCAAGATTAGTTTATTAATTAGCTTATGTTTTAACAAAAGTTATGTCAGGATAGTCAGTGTGAGAATATGCTTCCCTGAATCACATATGACTGAAATATTTTTGCTTGTTTACTTCTGTAAGTTGAAGTCGTTTTGCTTGTTTACTTCTGTAAGATGAAGCTGTTTTGCCTGTTTACTACAGAAAGTTGAAGTCATTTTGCTTGCTTACTTATGTAAGTTGATGTCATTTTGCTTGTTTACTTCTGTAAGTTGAAGTCATTTTGCTTGTTTACTTCAAAAGTTTTGCTTGTTTACTTCAGAAAGTTGAAGTCATTTTGCTTGCTTACTTCTGTAAGTTGATGTCATTTTGCTTGTTTACTTCTGTAAGTTGAAGTCATTTTGCTTGTTTACTTCAAAAGTTGGATGTTATTTTGCTTGTTTACTTTAGAAAGTTGAAGTCATATTGCTTGTTTACTTTTGTAAGATGAAGTCATTTTGCTTGTCTACTTCTGTAAGATGGTGTTTTGCTTGTTTATTTCAGAAAGTTGAAGCCATTTTGCTTGGTTACTTTTGTAAGATGAAGTCATTTTGCTTGTCTACTTCTGTAAGATGGTGTTTTGCTTGTTTACTGCAGAAAGTTGAAGTGATTTTGTTTGTTTACTTCAGAAAGTTGAAGTCATTTTGCTTGTTTACTTCTGTAAGTTGAAGTCATTTTGCTTGTTTACTTTAATACAAACAAAGAAATTATAGACTGCTCTCTAGTACGACATATCTGAGGGTTTGCACAATGAGAGGATATCACAGGTTCAAATGTGACATAAACTATTCAATAATTTACTGACAGAAGACTGTAGCGATTCTGATGCTGTTGGTATATCTGGTTGGTGCAGTTTCAGCAGTGAATTGCCAGAGCTACTCATGACGATTTTTTATAACATCGTGCATTCCCGATGTCATAGCGCCTACATGTTTTAAATGGAGTTTCAAAGGGCGAAATCTTATAGCCATCAAGGATTACAAGATTGGCATTAATGTAAACAACTTACAATCCTTACTTCAAAAGATCACATTCCAGAACATTGTAGGTAATTACCATCATAATCAGCCATTGATTAGTCAGACCATTTAGCTATTGATTAGTCAGACCATTTAGCTATTGATTTATCATAGCAGAAAACCATTGATTAGTAAATGAAAAGAACCATTTGTCAGTTACATAACTGTACCAATTTTAAAGTGATTCAAGATCCAATGATTACTCCCTTGGCATAGATATGACTGTCCCATCTCATGGGAGGTATCATTAACCAGCCTCCCCAAACATGAAGAATGTCATTGATTAAACACGGGAGATGTAGGACAATGGTGAGACCTACACTCATGTCCGTACCTGGCACAATTTCCCTCCATCTGCTGGCACCAGTCTCTAACCACCCAGCATTCCAAGACCCTCTCATTACCATAATCCCTTATCAGCTGCTTTCCGTCTGTCGGTCATTTCAACTCTCATCAAACAGACTAGACAAAGTGGTCTGCATTTTCTACTAATCTTGTCCATGTCTAGAAGGCCACCATCAGACTAGATCCCCAGATTACCATCTGACTTACACCTCCATTGTTGCCTTGTCAGAAGAAACAGGGTATCATCACCTCAGGCGACCACCGGTATCAGGCACTGGACAATGGTCAGTGTCTCCTGTCCATCCATGGTCAAAGGGTACAAGGAGAGGCGAAAATATCTCTTCAGTCACCAAATTTAAAATCAGACCCCTCAAAAGAAAGTATTTAGGGAAATTTCAATCAAAATACCATTAAAATGGTGCTGAGACACCCAAATCACCTGAGGCGGTGGGGTAGCCTAGTGGTTAAAGTGTTGGCTCGACACGCCGAAGACCCGGGTTCGAATACCCACATGGGCACAATGTGTTAAGCCCATTTCTGGTGTCCCCCGACGTGATATTGCTGGAATATTGCTAAAAGCGCCGTAAAACTAAACTCAGTCAGTCCATCTCAACCCCCACCTCTTTTCCCACCCCCTCTCTCCACCTCCGAAAAAGAAACAGTGCAAACAGATGAAACAAGAACAAATTTACGTTATCATATCCAATTACATAATAAGGCCTTTTCATTGTTTAAAGTTTTAAAGCCTTTTCAAAATATTATAAATAATATCTACAAGGTACGATATATTGAAAATGTATGTATAACATGTTGTGATACCTTTCCAAAAAAAATAAAGTGATAAAAAAATAAGAAGAATTTTAAGATTCAGTGTCTTTTTATGCTTGTGAAAAGCTTGTCACCAAATACTATCACAAGTAAGAATCCAGATAGTGAGTGAGTTGGGTTTCATGCTGCTTCTAGCAATCTACCAGGAATGTCACGGTGGGGGACACCAGAAATGGGCTTCACACATTGTGTCCATGTGGGTCAAACCTGGGCCTTCAGCGTGATGAGAGAACACGTCTTGAAAGTGTCTATAGCTTTTGTCCATGCCTAGGTATTGTCTATAGCTGGGACCCAAGCCCAGCTAATATTCTTGGTAAGGCCATTATTAGTGTTCATAATTTCAAGCATGTTTCTGTGAAAAACACCAAGGACTACATTTAACTGATCAAACAGATAAATCTACAAAGTTTTCCTCTAAAGTACGTAGCCCCCCACAAGGGTACAATGTGTGAAATCTGTTCCGGTCTCCCCTGCAGTGATATTTCAGGAATATTACTTGAAGATTGAGGTCACTCACGATACACAATGCCGGTACAACACCTACATCTTGTTTTGACATGAACCTGTGGCTTGACTTATCATTACAATCAGTTCTTGAAGAACCAAGCTATCGGATCTGCCTGTTGCTGCTGAGTTTAGTTTTACACCGCTTTTAGCAATATTCCAGCAATACCATGGCAAGGGACACCAGAAATGGGCTTCACACATGTGGGGAATGGAACTCGGGTCTTTGGTGTGATGTCCAAACGGTTTAACCACTAGCATACGCTCACCGAACTGGAGGAATTATTCAGCTCAGAGCCAGATCACAAGAGAACAATTACAATTAAATCTATAAGAACATGATAACAAAATCTTAACTATACCTGGTGATGTCACAGACAGTCTGCATTTCCCTCTGGGCTAATTGAGTGTCTTTCTGTTGTCTCAACACAGACCTAACTCTTTATCATACTCGTATGTTTCACAAAAATTATTTTTAAGTAACATCCGAAAGGATCCTGAATTTTACAAGCTGAAAATTCAAGAACATGACCCATTCAGCTTGTAAAATCCAGCACACCTCCCCTTCACACAAGACACTTGCAACATGATACTGGAAACTTGAACTTTTTATTTTGCACTTTCATTTTGAAGTTTGAATTTCTCCTGTCTCAAAAATGTTTTGGCTTTTTTTGGTACACTGTAATTGAATCACACTTCAAATAGGTGACCTTGAGTTACTTTCATTCTTCTATATCACAAGAGCAAAGAGTAAACTTTGACAGTAACTCTTTAACATCGTGTCTGATCAGCATAGAATGTCTCAGTAAATGCATGTAACAACCCTTGTGTGACTCTTTCATCATGCAAATTCATGAAAACGAAGACTTATTTCTGAAAGGCAGCATTTGGGGATTGTCTCAAACGTTTTAGGTTCTTTTTCGCATATTTGTGTTCAAATTCATAATTCAGTCCCAGCGTGATGTTCTTTGTTTATCTTTTGTCAAAAGAGGAAGTTAGGTATTAAGAATGTCCCCAGCTGCATATTTCAAATCTTTACAAGCCTCTGTCACACAATACAGCCACAATCTTCTTGCCACGACCCCCTGCCTAATACCCCTGCAGAGAAAATAGTGTGTATTACATATTCTCTTTTCTTCCTCAAATTGTTGAAATATAATTTTACAAATATGAGGAAATGTTTGCAGAAGATTACAATTGTCAATTAGTTTTTCACAATTCTCACAGTCCAGGACATGGCTCTCAGAAATGATAATCTCCAACAAATTGTTACGAGCTAGTTCTCGTAACCTGTTACTAAGATTATCGCAAGTTAAGCTGGGGCTGTTACAGGACTCTCCTTCATCAAATGTTTACTGATTCGTGAAAGTGATATCATGTTCATACTGTTGTGATCACATCTCAAAACAAAGTCCCTGGATCACACACTTGACACTACAAATGCTCACTTAATATCACATAATTCACATTAGCAATATTCCAGCAATATCACGGCGAGGGGACACCAGAAATGGACTTAACACATTGTACCCATTTGAGG